CTGCTGCTACAGTTTTATTTGAATCTTAGAAGACAATTTTGGAATTGTTTTGAAAGGTTTTTTTTTTTGCACTATTGACTGCAGTAGTTAACGTTTTTTTAAAACAACAGTTTTTTAAATAATCAATTTTTTCTATTTTTTTTTTTTGCTATTTTTTCTGTCACTTTTTTCATCTTAAATTTGAAAAAAAAAGTTTTTTTTTTCTTGTGACAAAATAAAACTATCTTAAACAGTTAGCAATAGTTAATGACAACAAATAATAACACAGCAGCAGTACATTAGGCAAAAGGGAATTTTTGTTTGCTCAACGATTGAAGAATAAAAATAAAGGTGTTCAGCAAACGAAATGATGTATTCATCTTTTGTATCTTTACCGACCAACAGAAAACAGTGGATAATTATTGGTGATGGTTACCAATGACTTATTGATACAACTATTCTATTTAGGTATTTGGATAGTATTGATAACTGTATCTGATTGACCGATAAGGTAAACAGTGTTTTTGCTTTATTACGGTGCAGTCAGTAGTTTTTTTATTTTTTTTTTTTGGTTAAAAAGGTACAAAAGTGTTGAGTGAAATAAACTCTAAACTGGTGAACAGGAGCTTATAAGTTTGCTTGACAGGCCAAAAAAAAAAAAAAAAAAAAACTGATGTCAGTTTTTGATTTAATAGATTTATTGACTGCTAAAGTGACACTACTCAATCTTGGATGTTGACATTGTCTTTGCCGGAAGTACTTGATAAGTTTAGTATCTAGTCGCAAATTTCGCCGATTAGCAGATTTACATCACAGTGGAGTGCTATTATTGAAAGCAGTTTACCAGCTATCAGATTGCTATAAAAAAAAAAAAATTAAACTTAGATTATTAAATCGAAATAATGCCTGTCAATAATTAAGGAGAACAATTGAGTTGACTGCAAAAACAGGAAATTTGTCACTGATAAGCAAAGACAGTTAACTGTTTTCTATGTTATAACGGTATAATTGAAAGTATGCTAAGTTATTTAATGGCTATTCCATCAGCCTTTTTTAGCATTATCCCATATTTGTTTGGTAAATATTAGGAGCTTGAGGTGGTTGTGACTTCAAAAACCGATTGACGTCAAGTTGAATTTGATTGAAAACAATTCAGAACCTTGCGGCACTGTTTTTTGTTCAAACGAGTAAGCGGTGCGGTAAAGAAGTAATGGAAAGTATCAATGCCGTGTGTCTTTTTTTTTGTCAGAAAAAAAAGGAAGAAGAAAAAGATGAAACTTCAGAATGAGTTTTTTGCAAAGTAAACATTCCTTTATTGTATCTATGAGTTGTTCTATTTTATAGCTCTGCGTATGTGTTTTGTTTTTTGTTTTTTTTTTTTTATGACTTCTGAAGCATTGAACAAATTGAAATGTAAAAAAAAATAGCAGTGTTTTTTTTTTTTTAACTTGCAAAAATTCTTTTCTTATCTTTCTTTCCCTTCCACTCTCAAATTTGCTCATTAATCTCGCCAATCCGCTGTACATCTGTTTCTGTATTTATTCCTCTCTCAGTTTTTTCAACTCCTTCTTACCGCTTATTCCACTTTTTTTTTTTTT